CCTGGATGCGTCCCTGTGGGATGGAGTGGCGGGAAAACCACCTTCTGGGCCAACCACTCTCTCCCCCCTCCAACACCAATTTGCCGAAACCACCCCCCAGCTTCGCTTTCCTGGCTCGAATGCAGCTGCCCTCGATTTTGCCTGCCTCGAACCTAACTTCGCGCTTCGATTGTTCTATAAATTAGTTACTTGGAGATGCTTGTCAAACCCGCAGTGAATGAGGTGATCTGTGTCGAACACGATTGCCTTAGACCCAGCAGTTGCTTTAAATAGTCGGATGGGCGTCGAGTCTACATTGCGACTTCATTCACGCTCCGAAACCCCATGCGATACGCGCAATCTAGCAAGCACTCGAACGCTTAGCACGTGCATCTCGAGAGTCCGCTCAGCAATAGCCGACTAAGAGCGCTTACCAATCACGCGCCCAGTGCTTCCTCGACTTGACAAACTCAAGCTGCTGCTTTGATAGCTTCCGCCATGTCTCTCGCCTTCCCGTCGCTCATCTCGACTGTCGCTCCGCTGCCATCGTCCCTTTGGAGCGCCAACCTCTCTGTAAGCTCCACGTCGTTAATCCCTCGCATATATCGACGCATTGGCTGTATCACACCCTATTGGAGTGGGAACTGCCAATCTTCCACTCCTGGCTCCAAATGTTCCCATCTTCCCATTACCATTCCCGTGTATGTCACGTATGGGTCGACGTAAAAGTTCTCCTTGCTTATGCACACCTTTTTTTTCACGCCGCTGACTTACAGAGTAGCACTATAATAGGGGCACGACGTGATTACTCATGCACGCTCTCTGTGTTTCCCGCTGCGCCCATCCGCGCCTCGTCGTGCAGGCACCGTACCCGACAAACACGCCGTGGCAGAACTTCGTGCTGGGCGACGGCGGCAGTCCCGAGGTCGTGCCGCCCTACGCCGTCAAGAGCAGCGAGGGGCGCATCGCGTGGGGTGCGCCGCCGAGAGACGCGCAGCCGGGCTTCATCATCCAGGTGAGGCGATGAAGCCGATTGCTCCATGAAACGTGGAAGAACGGATGGTCGAATAAACGCGGCCGGTGCCAAGTAAAGGCAGGGTGAAGGCAAAAGGCAGGGTTGGCTTTTTAGCCTCGCCTTTGCTTTCTCAAGGACGTTAGTCAACTTGCGCGACTCACCTACCAGGCGTGCCCAGTGGAACCATGCTCACCACAGCCGTTGGTGGATCTGGCTGCTTTTTTTCATCTCTTCTTCTGCCGCTCGTTTGAATCCATCCGTCCCATCCTTGCGTCCCTCCCCTTGCGCACAACCCCTTCCTTCTTCGTCTGTACTGCTTTGCACCCCCACTCTTCCGCCCCATTCATTCTCTCACCTTTTCTTCTTTCCACCTGCCCTCCCTGTGCGTGCGCGCCCCCACGCCACCCTGTCAGGCGTTCATGGCGACGCTCATGCTCTCCACGCTCGAGGGCCTCTCCACTCACCAGGTCACCTCCTACGACGACACCTCCGTCACCCTCGCCTACTCCTCTTCCTCCTCCTCGCCCTCCTCTGCGCCCGTACTGACGGTGCCGCTGGTGCGCGGCAGTCCATACCTCACGTTCCTGTTCGCGTCACCAGGAGCCACGCCAGTGATGGCCACGGACGATGCCATCACGGAGGTGCAGTCCACGGCGGACGGCACCAAGCACAGGCTCACCTTCAACAACGGACAGGTACAGCGCCAGCTGTATTGGCCCCGGCTGGCAGGCAGTGTGCGTGCCCTTAGCTGCCCATTCTGTGCTAGATGCAAGTGCACCTTGCCCTTTCTTCCATTGAACTTTGTCTTTGTTTTTGTTTTTGTTTTTTTGTTCCTTTTTTACAGTCCGAATTGACTCAACCCTTCCTCTCACTGCACCCACTGGACCCCTGCAACCCCCCCGGCACTTTCCCCCTTCAGACATGGCTGCTATACGCGTCCGCACCGCTCACCTTCTCCCTCCACAACAGCACGCTCACCGCCACGTCACCCTTCACCGGCACGCTGCGCGCCGCGATGCTTCCTGGAAACTCCCCAGCGGAGGAGGCGGTGCTGGACGCATACGCAGGCGCCGTGGTGGTGGGCGGCGATGTGAAGGTGCAGCCGTGGCGCATCAAGTACACGTGGAAGGTGGCGCCGTGGGGCAGTGAGACTGCTGCCACGGATGGGACTGCTGTGCCGCTCATGCTCGCACTGCCAAGTGAGTCCTCGGGGTGAACGGGGAATGGGGGCGGTAGGGGCGACATAAAGGCGCAGCTGTGGCGGGAAGTACGCATGGAAGGTGGCGCCATTGAGCAGTGAGAGACTGCTGACTTTGCTGCCGGTGCGGTGCGTGGCAATGGTGGTAGTATCAGCCAGTGCGGTGACAGTGGGTGTGGTGGCAGTAGGTTGTTGCACATACGTATCCTTTTCAACCCCACTCCTCCTAACCCCTTTCTCACCCTCCCTCTTTTTCCCTTCAATGTGTGCCCACTCCCTCTGTATCCCCCACTCTACCCCCCCATGTCAGTTCATCGGCGAATGCATCTCAAAGCCTACTCCCCCGCCACCTCCACACCTCCCCCTGGTGTCAACTTCCCGCCTGTCACCCCCACACCTCCCCCCGTCACCTCTCCCCCTTCTTCCGCCCCAGCCTCTGCCCCTTCTTCCACTCCTGCCTCCGCCCCTTCATCTGCCCCCGCCTCTGCCACCGCCTCTGCCCCCGCCTCTGCCCCAGCCTCTGCTCCCGCCCCCCCCTCTATTCCTCCCCCCTGCACCCCCACCCTCCCCCTCACCGCCGCCTCCCTCTCCGCTCACTCCTTCCTTGCCGCATCTTCCGGGGGAGGAGCAGCAGAAGCCATCACAGCTTCCGCGGACCAAAGCGCCCCATCACTGCTACAGCCCCCATCGGCATCGGTGTCAGCTGCAGCACCGAACCCCCACGTGCTGCTCTACCCCACGCTAGACGGCCCTGCAGTGGGCGTGGCAGGCAGCAGGTGGGAAGTGAAGGTGCCTCCTCTGCACGCCTCCTGGCACTCGCCCCGCCTCTCCTCCGACCCCGCCCTCCGCCTCTCCCTCCGCCTCGCACTACAGACAGACATCGCCGCCCTCACCCCCATCACCACCACCTCCACCTACTTCTTCGGGAAAACCGCCGCCCGCGCCGCCCGGCTGGCCCTAATTGCAGAGCAACTAGGCGAGACAGCGGCAGCAGGGACAGCAGTAGCAGTGGTGCGGGACGCCCTAACCGCATGGTTCAACGGGTCGTTTGCGGGAAACTCTCTCCTCTACGACCCGGCGTGGGGCGGCATTGTGAGCATGAGCGGGGCGGCGGACTCGGGGGCGGATTTCGGCATGGGGTGCTACAACGACCACCACTTCCACTTCGGCTACTGGCTGTATGCCGCTGCAGTGGTGGCCAAGGCGGACCCTGCATGGGCCATGACTCACCGGCACTCTGTGCTCAACCTTGTGTCTGATATCATGTCCCCGCGTGCCACTGCGGCGTTCCCCAGGCTGAGGCATTTTGATTTGTACGCGCTGCACTCGTGGGCGAGCGGGCTGTTTGAGTTTGGCGACGGGAGGAATCAGGAGAGTTTCAGTGAGGCGGTGAATGGGTATTATGCGGTGGCGCTGCTGGGGCATGCGTTTGGGGATCTGCACTTGGCGAATCTGGGGGCTACGCTGGCTGCTGTGGAGGCTGTTGCTGCTCAGACGCTCATCCAGGTGCCTGAGAGTGCTGATGGCGGTGGGGGTGGGAGTGGTGGTGGTGATGGTAGTGAGGGTGTGCCTAGCCCCTCTGCTGCACCGTCAGCAGCACCAGCAGGGGCGCCAGTACCGGCACCAGCAGAAACGCCAGCACCAGCAGCAGCAGAAACGCCAGCACCAGCAGAAACGCCAGTACCTGCAACAGCAACAACGCCGGTGCCAGCAGCAACAACGCCAGTACCAGCCGCAACAACGCCAGTACCTGCAGCAACAACGCCAGTACCAGCAGCAACAACGCCAGTACCAGCAGCAACAACGCCAGTACCAGCAGCAACAACGCCAGTACCTGCAGCAACAGCTACAGCAGCAGCAGTAGCAGAACCAAGAGAATTACTATCATCACCCTCCACTTCCTCCTCCTCGCGTCTCTCCACAGCAGCCCTGTCAGCAGCAGCCACGTCCACCTCCCCAAACTACGATCCAATCTTTGCCGTCCCAAACCGCCTCCTCGGCATGGTGTGGGCGGCAAAGCGCGACGCAGGCCTGTGGTTCGCAGCAGCAGAGCAGACCGACAAGCGCGTGGGCATCCAAGTCCTCCCCATTACGCCCTTCCTCGCCCGCCTCTTCCCAGACCCCTCCTTCAACCGCCAGGTGGTGCAGTGGGTGCTGCCTGTGCTGGGGGGGGACGGCACCACGGACGAGTGGAGGGGGTTTGCATGGGCGCTGCAGGCCACGTATGACCCGGCGGCGGCGAGGGAGAATATTGAGAAGCTGACAGCATTTGACGATGGGAATAGCAAGACGAACATGCTCTGGTGGCTCGCTGCCAATACTCCTTAGTGCTGCCAGCTCGCCTAGTGCTGAGGCTTGCCTTGCGCCCGCTCGACGGTGCTGCTCGCCCATCTGGAATGTTGCTCAACTTTTCTCTGGCTCCCCCCAAAAATGCACGCGGCATTCCTGCACCAGATGCAGGAGCCCCTTGCAGGTTCCTGTGGCCAATCAATGAACACCCTTCCCTGGAGGGGGGTGGGTGGGTGGGCTGGGTTATGCCTTTCCCTAGCCGTCTCTAGGCTCTGCCTGTCTAGGCTCCAAGCCAACGTGCTCAGTTGGCTGCTCGTAGCCTCTCTGCTTAGCAGGCAGTTTTGTTGCCCCATTGATTGTGCTGGGGCATGTGGGCTGTTCGTTCATTCATTTTGTATCTATGCTTTATCTATGATGCATTGTCTGTTCCGTTAAGGGTCTTAAAGAGGAACAAATGAAGCAAATTACGGTATTCCGCTTACGGTACCGCAACACACCGCACTAAACCACTTGCCGCAATCACCCTCTTTTCCTCAGCTTATCCAATGCCGAACCAACAGCCTCAATCGCCTGCTTCACCCGGCCCTGCATCGTCTGCCCCTGTGCCGCCACTCCCCCCTTCGTGTCCCCCAGCAGCACTTGGTTCAGCTCTGCCTGTGTGGCGCCATCCAGTGGCTCCACGAACTCACTCGCTGCCAGGATGCCCGCTGCTGGTAACCCACGCGCACTGCTGCTGCTGCTGCTGCTGCTGGCAGTGGCAGTGGTGGTGGTGGTGCTGCTGCTGCTGCTCGTGTTGCTGTTGCTGGTGTTGGTGGCGCGGCTGGTGCTGCCCTTGGTGCTGCTACCGCTGGTGCTAGCAGCATTGATGCTTGAGTCGTCAGCTGGTAGCATTGGTGCCAGCGGGAGGCAGTCGGGCAGGACTGTGGGGGAGAAGGCCGAGAAGATTTCCCGCTCCAGGGGCACTGCCCGGGCGGGCTGCAGGCAAAACTTCATCCACTGCCCGATGAGTGGCGAGGGCCCGCGGTTGCGCCAGGCAGCCTTGGGGATGTTGTAGCGGGCTGTAGCGGGCACGGCCTGGAGGGGGAAAGAGAGGGGTGGATAGAGGGAAGAGGAAATTATAGACAGATGGAGATAATGTAACTGCACACACATATCTGAAGACCCAAATTTCTGCAGATTGGCACAGAACACGACAATTACCAATCAAACACCAATTTAACAGTCATCAAACAGTCATCGAAGAACGCAGCAGAAACAATTATGAGCAATATTTGAGAATTAAACAGAAATCGTTCATCATCCACATGAGGGGGGGCTTTTACAAGTGAGACCATTGGGTGCCAGTCAAAACTGCCTGCCTGGGATTGAAGGCAGCACCAGGGCGGCAGGGTTGAAGAACAGGGAAGGCAGCAGGAAGAACGACACGTGGCGCTCACCCATAGGTCGGCAAAGAGGAGGGTGCCGTCAGCAGGCGCAGCGACGGTGATGTTGTTGTTGCGGCGGGCGAAGGGCAGCAGGTCAGAGGACCATCCGACCACCACTAGCACGTCCGATGCCTGAAAGGCCTTGAGGTAGTTGCTGCTGTCACACACGCGAATCTGAGGGCAGGTGGGAGAGTAAGGGGACGGGGAAGGATGCAATGAGAGTTGAGGGCAAGCGAATGGAAGAGGGGAGGTTGGAGGACCACCCCACCACTACGAGCACGTCTCACACCTGAAAGGCCTTTGGGTAGTTGCTGCTGTCACACAACCGCACCTGCGGGGTGAACGGAGGGGGAGGAGGTTAGAGGAACAACGAGTGCTGAGGGGAAACGTGTGGGAGGGAGGAGGTGGGAGGGTGATGGAGGAGGCCGGAGGGCCATCCCACCACCACGAGCACGTCTCACACCTGAAAGGCCTTTAGGTAGTTGCTGCTGTCACACACCCGCACCTGAGAGGAGGTGGGAAGAGGAGAGAATAAGGGGAGGAGAGGGGAAGGGAAGGATGCAATAGGAGCGGAGAGGAAAAGGAGATGCCTGCCGGGCCTTGAGGGGAGGAGTGGGAAAGGACACGTGGGGGAGGAGACGCACATTCAGACACTGTGTTACTCGTAGAACTTTACACCTCATTTCAGTTTTGAGACGCATCAAAACTCGTGGGACTTCACATTCAAATCCTGGTGATAAGTGCGAGCAGGTGCTCTAGTCAGCATGCCACGTCAGCGCACCTGGTGCAGGAGGGCTTGCCACCTGGCCTTGAGAGCAGGTAAGCCTCCGGGCACATGCGAGTCCAGTGGGCTGTGCGCATTGAACGGCGCTCCTAGCGACCTGTGCGGGGGGGGGGGGGGGGGGGAAGGTGGGGAGGTGGGGGGAGGAGGAGGAGGGGAGGGGGAAAGCGACTGTTGATGCGCCGACAAAAGGAAACATCGAGAGGGCTACTGGGTGTTGACGGGCGCTGCTGGTGACCTGTGCAGGGCGGAGGGGGAGAGGAGGGGGTGAGGGGGGGGAAGAGGATGAGGTGGAACGCATGGGTGCGAGTGGCAAGAGGTTCAGCAGCGCCAACAGCATGCGAGTCCACCACAGCAGCGCCAACAGCATGCGAGTCCACCACTACCTCTTTTCCTCTCCATGACTCTCCATCCATTCCCACTGTTGAGGCACCGCAAAAGTCTAGAGCACAAACCCCCACTACCACTTGGTCACCCCACGGCTCTCCCTCCCCACGGCTCTCCCTCCCCACTGCCTGCCTCCCTTCGACTTACTTCATCGTAACTGCCAGCAGCTCTCTCGGCGAATCAATGACTGCCACCTGTCCGCGCAACGCCGGCTGCCAGAGATCGCTCCACATCTGATTGGGGATGGGAAGGGAATGGAGAGGGGATGGAGAGGGAACGAAGAGGGGATGGAGAGGGGAGGGAAGGGGTTTCAAGGAATAGGAAGGAGGTGGTTTGGTGGTAGGAGAGGAGAGGAGAGGGGAGGGGAGGGGAGGGGAGGGGAGGGGAGGGGAGGGGGAAAATGGAGAGAAGAGGGGGTGGGAGGAGATGAGGAAGAGGAGAGGGTGGGAGGAGATGAGGAAGAGGAGAGGGTGGGAGGAGATGAGGAAGAGGAGAGGGTGGGAGGAGATGAGGAAGAGGAGAGGGTGGGAGGAGCTGAGGAAGAGGAGAGGGTGGGAGGAGATGAGGAAGAGGAGAGGGTGGGAGGAGATGAGGAAGAGGAGAGGGTGGGAGGAGATGAGGAAGAGGAGAGGGTGGGAGGAGATGAGGAAGAGGAGAGGGTGGGAGGAGATGAGGAAGAGGAGAGGGTGGGAGGAGATGAGGAAGAGGAGAGGGTGGGAGGAGATGAGGAAGAGGAGAGGGTGGGAGGAGATGAGGAAGAGGAGGGGGTGGGAGGAGATGAGGAAGAGGAGAGGGTGGGAGGAGATGAAGAAGAGGAGAGGGTGGGAGGAGATGAGGAAGAGGAGAGGGTGGGAGGAGATGAGGAAGAGGAGAGGGTGGGAGGAGCTGAGGAAGAGGAGAGGGTGGGAGGAGATGAGGAAGAGGAGAGGGTGGGAGGATATGAGGAAGAGGAGAGGATGCGAGGAGATGAGGAAGAGGAGAGGGTGGGAGGAGATGAGGAAGAGGAGAGGGTGGGAGGAGATGAGGAAGAGGAGAGGGTGGGAGGAGATGAGGAAGAGGAGGGGGTGGGAGGAGATGAGGAAGAGGAGAGGGTGGGAGGAGATGAGGAAGAGGAGAGGGTGGGAGGAGATGAGGAAGAGGAGAGGGTGGGAGGAGATGAGGAAGAGGAGAGGGTGGGAGGAGATGAGGAAGAGGAGAGGGTGGGAGGAGATGAGGAAGAGGAGAGGGTGGGAGGAGCTGAGGAAGAGGAGAGGGTGGGAGGAGATGAGGAAGAGGAGAGGGTGGGAGGAGATGAGGAAGAGGAGAGGGTGGGAGGAGATGAGGAAGAGGAGAGGGTGGGAGGAGATGAGGAAGAGGAGAGGGTGGGAGGAGATGAGGAAGAGGAGAGGGTGGGAGGAGATGAGGAAGAGGAGAGGGTGGGAGGAGATGAGGAAGAGGAGAGGGTGGGAGGAGATGAGGAAGAGGAGGGGGTGGGAGGAGATGAGGAAGAGGAGAGGGTGGGAGGAGATGAGGAAGAGGAGAGGGTGGGAGGAGATGAGGAAGAGGAGAGGGTGGGAGGAGATGAGGAAGAGGAGGGGGTGGGAGGAGATGAGGAAGAGGAGAGGGTGGGAGGAGATGAGGAAGAGGAGAGGGTGGGAGGAGATGAGGAAGAGGAGAGGGTGGGAGGAGATGAGGAAGAGGAGAGGGTGGGAGGAGATGAGGAAGAGGAGAGGGTGGGAGGAGATGAGGAAGAGGAGAGGGTGGGAGGAGATGAGGAAGAGGAGAGGGTGGGAGGAGATGAGGAAGAGGAGAGGGTGGGAGGAGATGAGGAAGAGGAGAGGGTGGGAGGAGATGAGGAAGAGGAGAGGGTGGGAGGAGATGAGGAAGAGGAGAGGGTGGGAGGAGATGAGGAAGAGGAGAGGGTGGGAGGAGATGAGGAAGAGGAGAGGGTGGGAGGAGATGAGGAAGAGGAGAGGGTGGGAGGAGATGAGGAAGAGGAGAGGGTGGGAGGAGATGAGGAAGAGGAGAGGGTGGGAGGAGATGAGGAAGAGGAGAGGGTGGGAGGAGATGAGGAAGAGGAGGGGGTGGGAGGAGATGAGGAAGAGGAGAGGGTGGGAGGAGATGAGGAAGAGGAGAGGGTGGGAGGAGATGAGGAAGAGGAGAGGGTGGGAGGAGATGAGGAAGAGGAGGGGGTGGGAGGAGATGAGGAAGAGGAGAGGGTGGGAGGAGATGAGGAAGAGGAGAGGGTGGGAGGAGATGAGGAAGAGGAGAGGGTGGGAGGAGATGAGGAAGAGGAGAGGGTGGGAGGAGATGAGGAAGAGGAGAGGGTGGGAGGAGATGAGGAAGAGGAGAGGGTGGGAGGAGATGAGGAAGAGGAGAGGGTGGGAGGAGATGAGGAAGAGGAGAGGGTGGGAGGAGATGAGGAAGAGGAGAGGGTGGGAGGAGATGAGGAAGAGGAGGGGGTGGGAGGAGATGAGGAAGAGGAGAGGGTGGGAGGAGATGAGGAAGAGGAGAGGGTGGGAGGAGATGAGGAAGAGGAGAGGGTGGGAGGAGATGAGGAAGATGAGAGGGTGGGAGGAGAATGCTGAAGCGAGGTTAGTCCATGGCCAAGACGTCACAGAAAGGAGGAGTCACCCAAGGGGGTGCCCCGGCACTTGAGGAGTCACCCAAGGGGGTGCCCCGGCATTTGAGGTTTTAGACATCTCAGCACTAGAAGTCAGCCAAGGGGTTGGGGAAGTACAATACATTTCAGGCGCCGCTCTCTCTCTCTCTCTCTCTCCTGCCTTTTGAGACATCTCAAAGCTCTCTCCCGCCGCAAACGATATGTGCGGACCGCACCTCCCCTCTCTGTACCTGGATGGGCTTGATGCCTTTCTGCTGGAGTTTATCAGCCCGCCACGCCACTGCCAGGTACCCCATGCGGTACGGCACTGCATACACCTTGCCCCTCACCGCCCCCTCCCCGCCCTCCCTGCCGCTGCTGCCGCTGGTTGTGGTGGTGGTGGTGGTGGTGGTGGGCGGGCCAGGGAGAGTTAGGTGGCCGGAGGGGGTGCGGTCGAGCAGCCTCTGCATGCAGCCACGCAAGCAGAGAGGGCATGGATGGGCGGCAGAGAGGGCATGGATGGGCGGCAGAGAGGGAATGGATGGGCGGCAGAATGGGCGGCAGAGAGGGCATGGATGGGCGGCAGAGAGGGCATGGATGGGCGGCGGAGAGGGCATGGATGGGCGGTAGAGAGGTGTCGGAGTTACCGCTATGCTCTTCTCTGCCTTGATTCTCCTGCTCTGCCTCTCCTTCGTTCCTTCTGCTGCCTCAGCCACTCTCTTATGAAGGAGTGGTAACTCTCACCTCAAAGGTCCTCTCTGAGTGGTGTGCCACCTGTAGGCAAATCTGAGGTAACAACTGTCCACTATACGAAAGGATAACAAACAGAAAGCATTGTGTGTGTGTGTGAGAGTGAACTTACCTGTCCCTGGCTCGAGCCGTGCATTTCTCAATGTGCGGCTTGAGCCTGGGTTGGGTTTGTTCCCATTGGTCGCGAGGATTTCACCCCCTGGTGTTCTCCTACCAACTTCGCGTCAATTTCCCAGCCTCCCACCTACCCATCCTTGAGCCTGCATACAACAAATACAACACATTACTACACCCTTTCTACACCACAATCATACTGGCACCTTATATGCACAAACGTACATATTCGGTGACAGCTGTCGGAGTTACCGCTATGCTCTTCTCTGCCTTGATTCTCCTGCTCTGCCTCTCCTTCGTTCCTTCTGCTGCCTCAGCCACTCTCTGCCCCCTCCTGTGCCCGTGCTCGCGCAGCTTGAGCGCGGGTCACAGGACCGTTGCGCTGAGGCCCGCTGCCTCTGATCACGGCAGTGTTCGTTTGATGCTCCTTCACTTGCGCCCCCGTGTCATTCTCCAGGACCAGCACCCCTGAAGGGCGCACCTCCTTGACCTTCCAGCGGACCGTACCCAGCCCCACATCCAGGGTGTCTTGCTTTGCCCTCTTGAGGTACACCTCCTGCCCTTCACAGACGCCTCTTGCCACTCGCCCCTCTCCCTTGCGCTGCCTCTGTTCGTACCTCCTTGCGTCCCTCAGCTGTGCAGTGTGCAGGTTCTCCAGTGCCGCTGGCAGCATGTAGCGCATGTAGCGCGCTCTCACCTCGGACAGGGCCACCCAGTTCTTGATCGTGCCTGCTGTCACCGTGTCTGTCAGTACCCGTGGTGCCTCCACTGGCAGGATTGGCTCTCTTCCGTAAAGGAGGCTGTACGGGGAGTGGTCCTTGAGTGCTGCCTGCTTCCCGAACCTGTACCCTGCGGCTATCCAATCCAGCTCCTCATCCCAGTCCCTCTTCCTCTGCTCCCCATAGGCCCGCAGCCCCCGCTTGAAGGTCTGCACCGCTCGCTCGGTCAGCCCGTCGCTTTGTGGGTGGTAGCGGGAGGTTTTTCTGTGCGCTATGCCGGATTCCTTCAGCAGCTTCTCAAATTCCCCCAGAAACTCCGTCCCCTGATCCGTGAGTACCTCCCCGCACGCTCCAAAGCGACACACCACCTGCGCCTTGAAGGCTGCTGCTATGTGCCTCGCGCTCTTGCTGGGGATGGCTTTCACCTCCAACCACTTGCTCGCATGCTCCACCATGAACACGATGTACCGATTTCCGCTCCTGCTGAGCGGCAGCTCTCCCGCGAGGTCCAAGGACCATCGGAATCCCAACCCGCAAATCGGCAGTGAATGCAGTTCTGCTTTGGCCTGCGTTAAGTTTGCCTTGCTCCTCTGACACGCCTCACACCCCTCCACCCACTCTTTCACTTGCTTGCGCATCCCTTCCCACCACCAGCCTGTCTTCAGCAGGTGTACAGTCCTCTCGTGCCCGAAGTGTCCCAGCTTCGTGTGCACCTCCTTGATCACTGCTTCACGGTCCGTGGGTGCAGGCACTAGCTTCCACCCGTCCTCTGTCTTGATCTGCAGCTGCCGCTGATACCACCTGTAGTGGTGCCCCCGTGCCCGCACTCTTTCTGACACTGTCTCGTCTTCCTCTGTTTCTCCTTTCACCCACCGCATTGCCTTCTCGTCCTGCCAGATGTCGGCTAGTCCCTTGCTCCCCTTGGCTCCGACCTCTTCCGCTTCTCTCGCCAGCATGATCAAGGTGTGTGCTGGCTCCAGCTCCGTCCCTTCCGTCCCCTGTGTTCTCTGTCCTGATTCCAGCGGTGGTGGGTTGCGAGAGAGACCGTCGACGTGCTGCAGCGTCTTCCCCGGCCTATGCCTGATCTGGAAATCATATTCTTGCAGCTTCACTGCCCACCTTGCGTTTCTTCCCGTCAGCCCTGGTGTGGTCATCAGCCAAGTGAGGGGCTGATGGTCAGTGACCAGTGTGAACTCGCGGCCCTGCAGGTACACCCTGAAATGCCCCACCGCCCACACGGCCGCCAGCCCCTCCCCTATGTATGAGCTATACTGCGCCTCTGCGGGGTTGCAGCTCCTGCTGGCGTAGGCTACCACTTTTTCCACTCCCTCCACTTCCTGGCACAGGATTGCCCCCATCCCCTGGCTGCTCCAATCAGTGTAGAGGACGAAGGGCTGGTCTGCTGCTGGCAGCCGCAGCACGGTTGCTGTCTTCACGGCTGTCATGAGGTCTTGCAGTGCTTCCCTCTGCTGTTCTCCCCACTCCCATACCTTGTCCTCTCGCAGCATCCCGTTCAGCACTGCCGCCCGCTTACTGAAGTTAGGCACGAAGCGCCTGTAGTAGCTGAGGAAGCCCAAGACTGCGCGCAGCCCTGTCTTGTCCCTGGGTTCCCTCAGCCTGTCCAGCACCTGCACCTTTGCTTGCTGAATCCCGATCTGTCCTCCTGTCACTTCATACCCCAGGTACTGCACTGTCCGCTCCCCCCACCTGCACTTGTTGGGATGACAGGTGAGCCCTGCCTCCTCTATTGCACTCAGGGTCCGCTCCACGTCCTCAAGGTGCTGCTGCTCTGTCTGGCTGAAGATGACCACATCATCAATGTAGCATGCTGCATGTTCAATCCCCCGCAGCACCGCATCCATAACTCTCTGAAACACTGCCGAGGCATTCCGCAGGCCGAAGGGCATGTATAACCACTCATACAGCCCGTCCGGTCCGTGGAAGGCTGTCTTCTTCACATCTTCCTCTCTGATTTTTATCTGATTGAATCCCTGGCGCAGGTCCAGCGTCGTGAAGTATACTCCGTCGGCCAGCTTGTCGAAGAGTTCTTCCGCCATTGGCATGGGGTACCTATCCGGCACGGTGATCTTGTTAAGATCTCTGTAATCACCGCACATTCTGCGGCTCAGCACCTCGCCTGTCAAATCCTTCCTGGCTGCCACCACGGTCGGGGTTGCGTACTCTGACTCTGACCTTCTGATCAGTCCTGCTTCCAGCAACTCCTGTACTTTCTCCTTGCAGATCGCCTCATCCCCTGGTGGCATCTTTCTTCTGCGATGGAACACCGGCTCTTCACTGTTCAGCTTCAATGCCATCTCCTTGATCTTGCACTTCCCCAACTCCTGCAGGGTGAAAGCGAAGCCTTTCCTGTGCTTGACCAGTAGTGCCAGCATCGCTGTCTTCCCTCCCTCGCTCATGCTCTCTCCTATCTTCCACTCAGGCTCTGCTGTTGGCAGGCAGGTCCACACCCCTTGTCTCACCGTTGCCTCTGTATTTTCTCCCTCCTTCAGTCCCCAGTGCAGCACCGTTTCTCTCCACATCCGCTGCACCAACCACCTCATCACGTATCCATCCATTGCATTCCCCATCGCCCGCCTCCTTTCCTGCTCTGTCACGCCCGGGGCTGCTGTGATGTTCTCCTTGTACCCCATAGCCAGCTCCCTCTCCAGGGCCGTGGGCTCTTCCCATCTTCCCTTCCTATGATCGAGCACTAGTCCTGGGCCTGGCTGCTTCCCCTCCATCTGGTACCCTGCTGCCCCTTCATATGACACGAGCGTCGGCAGTGCTTGCCTCTCTTGCCCCACTGTGTTGCAAGGGTAATGTCGGCTGTAGCTCCTCTTGCTTACTGGTGCTGGTGTTCGCCCAGGCTCGAGTATATCGCTCAGCTTCCGCCCCCCTGCTCTTCTCACCCCCTCTATCTCCCTCTGCAGGTCTTCTGCTGGCACCACGTTTTGCCAATACATTCTGAGCCTGTGTGAGTAGGCTCCCATCCGTGTTGCGTCGCAGCTTACCCCTTTTCCCACCTGTCTGGTCACTCGCTCCCTTACCAGCCGTATGGGCTCACGCACATCTCCTTCCATGTCTAAATGCTCCAGCAGGTACGCCACCCTGCCTTGTTGAGCCTGCAGCCATTCCATCACTCTGAACAAGTCTTCCATCAGCTGTGTTCGCAGGTCTTGCTCACCCTTGCCTTTCCCAGCCCATGATACCCCTTGGCACTCCCACCCAGCCACTAACAGGTCCACGTGCCCCCAGCTTGCCACCTCAGCTTCTGTGATGGCCCTGACGTCGTTGACTCCTCTGCTCATTGCTGCCCTGATCACCTCTTCCTTCAACAGCTCCGGGAACTCGCTGTGCAGCTGCCATGCATGATGCTCCGCCATTTTCCTTGCTTCTGCCGCCTTCTCTACGTAAATCCACTGCTTCACTGCTATCCCGTTCCGTACCACCGCTGCCAAACCCGCCCCTATGCCCCCGAAGAGTTCCACCAGGCGGGTAGGTTGCTGCCAATCGGATTGTTGGCTGGGCTCGTCCATGAAGTGCATCCTCGGCTGTCCACCCTGTTCCTTGTTCCTCGCGGTCTCCTGTGCCCCCTGCTTCGCTGCCCCCTCCTTCAGATCCGCCCTGTAAGCCCGCTTTGGCTCTGTCTTGACGAACTGCACCGGCAGCTGTCCCAGTGGCTCACCCTTCTTCCACCACCTGGTTCTGAATTCTACCGTCTCCTTCCAAAAGCAGATGGTCATGCCCAGTGCAAAGATCATCTCCGTGCCCACCAAAACGTCGAAATCTTCAGATTCTGAGATCCCACACCTGATCCTCACCGGTGTTTCGTGCTTCTCTCCTTTGAGCACCGTCAGTTCTATTGGAGTCCTTGTGCATGGCATCCACTTTGACTCTCCTCCCTCTGCTGTCATCACCAGCATTCCCTTCACTACATGTCTGTCCGGCGCCCACAGTCCCAGTTTTTCTGCCATTCCCCTCCCTAGTATCACGCTCTGCGCGCCCGTGTCTATAATAGCCGTCTTCGCCTTCTCCCCTTCCACTGACAGCGCACCTCCTTGTATCAGCAGCACTGAAGTCTGGCACGCCAGCCGCTCCTGTGGATGCCGTGCCGCTGTACACCTCTCTTCCTTCTCCTCCGGTTTCTGTCCTCTCTCTCGCTCCTTCCTTACCTGGTCCTTCCGTGCATCCTTTCCTCCGCTGCGTAGCCCCATCTCCTCCCTTCCTCTCCATGCCATGTATGCTGGCTGCTCCTCGTGTTCCACCTCATCCTTCGCTTTGCCTGCCCAGCTCATGAAAGCGGCCTCCTCATCTTGCTCTACATCCTCTTCCTTTTCCTTCCCCGCGTACATCCCCGCTTCTGCCTCGCGTCGTGGTCCCATTGCCTGCAGCTGAGCCTGCAGCCTGCCAATCTGCTTTTCCAGGTCCTCTGGTGTCCTCTTCGCCGCTCCTTCCCGCTGATAACACTCCCTTGCTGCATGCCCTCCCTTCCCACAGATTTCGCACTTCGGAGCTGTTGGGCATTCCCGCCGCCGGTGCCCTGGCTTACCACAGGAGTCGCAGTTCTTGCAGTCTCTGCGCAGGTGCCCTGGCTGCCCGCATCGGTGGCACGTTCGTGCGTCAGTCCTGCTATCCCCTCTTCCCCCTGCCCTTTCCTTTTCCTCTGGTATCATGGCTGCTGCCCATGTAGGTCCTCTGCCACGCTCCGCTGGTCGTTGCCGGTAGGCTTCAAGCTTCCTCTGGGCCATCTCCATCTTCTCAGCTAGCTCAAACACTTCATCAAGTGTCACTTCAGCCCCCATCTCATATACTTTCAGCCTCAGCCCGCTTCCCAAGGTACCCTCCAGGCCGTCCAGGAACTTGCTCACAAGCAGGCCCATGTCCGCACAACTCACGTCCTCCGCTATGTTGACCAGCCGATTGTAGTAGGTGAGTAGTGACTCTCCCCGCCCCTTCCTAAAGTCTTGAAACTCTCTGATCTTCTCTGCAGTGTGGCCTGGGAACTGCCGCTTCAGCCGCCTCAGAAATTCTTCGGTTGGGTCCTCCCCATACCTTCCTGCCCTCTCCAGTAGCTCATTCATCTTCATCCTGTATAACGTTTCTGCCTCCCCCTCCAGTGTGTTTGGCAGGCTCAGAAAGAAGTCCACTGCATCCATGCCGCCCCTCTCGCATCTGTACCGCACGTTGCCCACTTGCATGAGATAATTCTTCAGTGTGGGCCCCAATCGCTGGTCCCCAGAGAAGCGTGCTGGTACTTCCACCCTTGTGACCATGGCTGTACTTCCCTTTCCTTCTCCCCACGCCTCACTATATCTCTCTGCTGTCCTGCCTGCCGTTCCCCTCTCTCCCGCCCGCCGTATTCCCTCCCTCGCCTCTCTGGCTCGCTCCAGGCTGTCCATCAGCCCGCTGCCTCCCACTCTGCTGCTGCGCAGATCTTGTCCTCCTTCGCCGGCACGCCTCTCGTCATGTTGCCGATAACGCTCTGGCGAACGTGCCCCACCGCTTTGCCTTATATCCCTGCTCCGCTGCCGCGGTGGCGAGCGATGTCTGCCCCCGTGACTCTCCTCAAGCGGCTGCCGCCAATCCGGCGAGCGCGCCTCGCCTCTCCACCCTCCTCCAGGATGCCGTTGCGCGTCAGGCGAGCGCTGGACATCTCTGCTCCTCCCATCATGATAGCGCTGCAGATCTGGTGAGCGTGAGCCCCTCTCGCTCCTCCCGCCGTGATACCTCCGCGGATCTGGTGAACGCGTGCTGTCTCCGCGCTCCTCCCCACGACGCTGCCGTGGATCTGGCAAGTGGTGACCACTTCCGCGCATTTCGTCGTGCCACTGCCGCACATCAGTCGAGCGGTAGCCGCCGTCGCGCCTGTCCTCACGCTGCTGCCGCGAATCTGGCGAGCGGTTGCCGCCGTCACGTCTGTCCTCGCGCTGCCGCCGCGGATCTGGCGAGCGGTAGCCGCCGCCACGCCTCTCGTCACGCCGCAGCCGCGGATCTGGCGAGCGATGGTCGCCGCCGCGCCTCTCGTCACGCTGCAGCCGCGGATCTGGCGAGCGATGGTCGCCGCCACGCCTCTCGTCACGCTGCCGCCGCGGATCTGGCGAGCGATGGTCGCCGCCGCGCCTCTCGTCACGCTGCAGCCGCGGATCTGGCGAGCGATGCCCGCCGTCGCGCCTCTTGTCTTGCTGCAGCCGCGGATCTGACGCATGCCTCTCGCCACCATGATTCTGGTCGTGGTGCTGATGGGGGGTCGGCGAGCGCGATCCACGGCTACGCCTCCTGTCGTCGTTGCCTTCTTCACCACGCGTCTGGTTCCGCGCACCATCCTTCCCGCCTATTTCTGCCGCGCCTGGCGCAGCCTCCTCGCTCGCCCGCATCGGACTGGCTTCCTTGACTTCGGCGTGCATATCGCGCTGCTCGCCCGCGCCTTCCTCATGGGCCTCGTCATCGCCCTTCGCTTCACTCTCGAGATCCATTTCCTGCGGCTTCTCCGCCATATCGACCTCGCCCTCCCCATCCACATCGAGATCTCCTTGCCGACCAGAGAATAGCTCCTCCAGGCCACGCCCGCGACTGCGATCTTCGCGACGGCGGTAACCTTCGTCCGGCGAGCGATACGCTCCCGTGTCGTGGCGATGTCCGCATTCGCCACCAGCCCCGTGGTGCGTATCCGTCCGCCACGGGTCACTTCCCATCCTGACGGACTCGGATCCGCCTCTTCCTTCGCGCTCTGCACCTTCTTCACGGCGATCTGGCGCGAGAGGGACCAGATCGGCGCGAAAAGCCGGCCTCCGCGGCGAGCGCTCAGGCCTCCGCGGCGAGCGGTCAGGCCTCCGCGGCGACCTCTCTAGCGAACGCCCGCGCTCTCGTGAGCGCTCCCGCCGCGAGCGATCACCCTCACGACGATCGTACTTCCTGCCATAACGCAACTCGTGCACATCCATGCTTGCACGCGCACCTTTCTGTTTGTTATGAAGGAGTGGTAACTCTCACCTCAAAGGTCCTCTCTGAGTGGTGTGCCACCTGTAGGCAAATCTGAGGTAACAACTGTCCACTATACGAAAGGATAACAAACAGAAAGCATTGTGTGTGTGTGTGAGAGTGAACTTACCTGTCCCTGGCTCGAGCCGTGCATTTCTCAATGTGCGGCTTGAGCCTGGGTTGGGTTTGTTCCCATTGGTCGCGAGGATTTCACCCCCTGGTGTTCTCCTACCAACTTCGCGTCAATTTCCCAGCCTCCCACCTACCCATCCTTGAGCCTGCATACAACAAATACAACACATTACTACACCCTTTCTACACCACAATCATACTAGCACCTTATATGCACAAACGTACATATTCGGTGACAGAGGGCATGAATGGGCATGGATGGGCATGGATGGGCAATGGATGGGCATGGATGGGCGGCAGAGAGGGTGGTGATGAAAGAGTCTTGGTGCACCTTGGTGCTGCTATTGCCAACACGTCCCATGCTCATGTGGATGCTGATGCGGGCTGTGGTGGACTGTCATGGTGATGGTGTTTGTGGTGCTTTGTCATGCTGATGCTCACAAGCTGCAAGGCATGCTTTCGTGGACAGCCTGCCCCTCCCACAGCACAGCACAGCACAGCCTCCCTCCCTAGGGCGCGGCATATGGCACAGCACACACTCACCAGCCACGTGGGCCCCAGGGCTTTGAACCAATCAGATCGCTCCACACCATCCAGGGGAAGCAGGGCTCTGCGCGATATCAGCTCCTTGAGCCACCTGATGGGGGGAGGGGGGCGGGAGAGAAGCGGGAGGGGGGCGGGAGAGAAGCGGGAGGGACGCGGGAAGCAGGAGAGGGAGCTCACTTCGTAGCAAAAGAGCCAAGGGGTATGTGAACGGAATCAGGAACAGACAAGTTACATACACAGGGGACGCACGTAGTGACAGGGGAAGTGGGCCTCTCCAAGCCCACTCAGCTGTGCCTTCTATTGCCCCCCTCCCCTCTCCCCTCTGTAAGCCTCCTCGCATGTCTCCTCTATAAGCCTCCTCACCAACCCCTCAATAGCCCCCCCTCACAGATCCCTCTATCAGCCGCCTCACCTGTCCCCCACAGTGACGACGTCAGCAGCGGCAGCGGAGCGCAGGGAGGGCTGCGCGCCGCCCTTCTTCCCACGAGCCTGGCCCTTAGAAGTCTCGGCCGAGGGGGCCAACGGCGGGGCGCCAGAGGCGCAGGGAGAGGAGGAGGGGGCGGCGGGCGTGGTGGCGGCGGGGAGCGGGGCGAGGAGGTCAGAGGCGATGGCGGCGTGGGAGGGGCGCGCGTCCACTGTGAGCTTGGCGAGGGGTGACTGCGACTGCAGGAAGTCCTGATGGCGTGCATGGCGTGTGGTGCGAGAGGAGGGGTAGAGACGGGAGTTGCATGGATTGGGACCGGGAAGAAGGAAGGAGGTAGCGGGATGGGCAGAAACGAAAGAGGAGAAACAACGGGCAAGGGGGGTAGCGAAGCTTCACTCTGTTTCTCTCTGTTGCAGTGCCACAGGAAACATGCAAGGGAGTTAGTGTGAACAGGAACAGCCAGAGAGGAAGAAAGGGGTGAGAATAATAGGCAGAGGCTGGAAGTAGAGGTATCAGAGGTGAGGTACCAGCAACGAGGAGCACAGCCACGTTTCAACCTGTTGCACGTGGCCTCGTCAGCACTGTCAGAGCAACTGCCACGTGCCTCTCACCTTGCGCCACATGCTCGCCACTGTGCCTCTCACCTTGCGCCACATGCTGGCCACTGTGCCTCTCACCTTGCGCCACATGCTCGCCACTGTGCCTCTCACCTTGCGCCACATGCTCGCCACTGTGCCTCTCACCTTGCGCCACATGCTCGCCACTGTGCCTCTCACCTTGCGCCACATGCTCGCCACTGTGCCTCTCACCTTGCGCCACATGCTCGCCACTGTGCCTCTCACCTTGCGCCACATGCTCGCCACTGTGCCTCTCACCTTGCGCCACATGCTCGCCACTGTGCCTCTCACCTTGCGCCACATGCTCGCCACTGTGCCTCTCACCTTGCGCCACATGCTCGCCACTGTGCCTCTCACCTTGCGCCACACGCTCGCCACTGTGCCTCTCACCGTGCGCCACATGCTCGCCACTGTGCCTCTCACCTTGCGCCACATGCTCGCCACTGTGCCTCTCACCTTGCGCCACATGCTCGCCACTGTGCCTCTCACCTTGCGCCACATGCTCGCCACTGTGCCTCTCACCTTGCGCCACATGCTCGCCACTGTGCCTCTCACCTTGCGCCACATGCTCGCCACTGTGCCTCTCACCTTGCGCCACATGCTCGCCACTGTGCCTCTCACCTTGCGCCACACGCTCGCCACTGTGCCTCTCACCTTGCGCCACATGCTCGCCACTGTGCCTCTCACCTTGCGCCACACGCTCGCCACTGTGCCTCTCACCTTGCGCCACACGCTCGCCACTGTGCCTCTCACCTTGCGCCACATGCTCGCCACTGTGCCTCTCACCTTGCGCCACATGCTCGCCACTGTGCCTCTCACCTTGCGCCACATGCTCGCCACTGTGCCTCTCACCTTGCGCCACATGCTCGCCACTGTGCCTCTCACCTTGCGCCACATGCTCGCCACTGTGCCTCTCACCTTGCGCCACATGCTCGCCACTGTGCCTCTCACCTTGCGCCACATGCTCGCCACTGTGCCTCTCACCTTGCGCCACATGCTCGCCACTGTGCCTCTCACCTTGCGCCACATGCTCGCCACTGTGCCTCTCACCTTGCGCCACATGCTCGACACTGTGCCTCTCACCTTGCGCCACATGCTCGCCACTGTGCCTCTCACCTTGCGCCACATGCTCGCCACTGTGCCTCTCACCTTGCGCCACATGCTCGCCACTGTGCCTCTCACCTTGCGCCACATGCTCGCCACTGTGCCTCTCACCTTGCGCCACATGCTCGCCACTGTGCCTCTCACCTTGCGCCACATGCTCGCCACTGTGCCTCTCACCTTGCGCCACATGCTCGCCACTGTGCCTCTCACCGTGCGCCACATGCTCGCCACTGTGCCTCTCACCTTGCGCCACATGCTCGCCACTGTGCCTCTCACCTTGCGCCACATGCTCGCCACTGTGCCTCTCACCTTGCGCCACATGCTCGCCACTGTGCCTCTCACCTTGCGCCACATGCTCGCCACTGTGCCTCTCACCTTGCGCCACATGCTCGCCACTGTGCCTCTCACCTTGCGCCACATGCTCGCCACTGTGCCTCTCACCTTGCGCCACATGCTCGCCACTGTGCCTCTCACCTTGCGCCACATGCTCGCCACTGTGCCTCTCACCTTGCGCCACATGCTCGCCACTGTGCCTCTCACCTTGCGCCACATGCTCGCCACTGTGCCTCTCACCTTGCGCCACATGCTCGCCACTGTGCCTCTCACCTTGCGCCACATGCTCGACACTGTGCCTCTCACCTTGCGCCACATGCTCGCCACTGTGCCTCTCACCTTGCGCCACATGCTCGCCACTGTGCCTCTCACCTTGCGCCACATGCTCGCCACTGTGCCTCTCACCTTGCGCCACATGCTCGCCACTGTGCCTCTCACCTTGCGCCACATGCTCGCCACTGTGCCTCTCACCTTGCGCCACATGCTCGCCACTGTGCCTCTCACCTTGCGCCACATGCTCGCCACTGTGCCTCTCACCGTGCGCCACATGCTCGCCACTGTGCCTCTCACCTTGCGCCACATGCTCGCCACTGTGCCTCTCACCTTGCGCCACATGCTCGCCACTGTGCCTCTCACCTTGCGCCACATGCTCGCCACTGTGCCTCTGAGCGCCACCACCCTGAGGGGCACGCTCAGGCTTGCCGGCTTCTCCACCCACCGGCTGTACGCCCGACCCATCTCCGCCTCCTCCTCCACTCCTTCCCTCTCCTCTTCCTCCTCTTTCCGCTCCTCTCCCCCACCCTGCCCCTCTCTCACTTGCCCCTTCTCTCCTTCCTCTCCTCTCCTCGCTGCTCCCTCTGCCTTCTCTCCCTCGCTGCCAACCACCTTCCTTCCTGCCCCGCCTGCCGCATTCCTCACAAGAATGTTGGTGCTAGCGTCCCCGTTAGAAGCAGCACCGTTTACGGTGGAAGCAGCGGTGACTATGACTGCATTCTTGCTGCCACTGTTCATGCTGACGTGGTCACCTGTCTGTGCTACAGCAGCTCTAGCTCCTGCCAGCAGCAAGACGCCAAACGCTGCCGCCCACACCGACTGCCTAACTGAGGATGAGACAAGCTGAGCCAGTGGATGGAGTTTGCTGGCTGCAGGGCTTTGCGGTGAGGGGGACAACGGCGGTGTTTCGTCAATGGGAATAGTGACAACGACAGGGATCGAACTGGAGACCTCTTGGGCGTGTGGTGCCCTACAGCCATCTTGGTTGTCAGGGTGAAACATGGCACAGCGTGATTGTATCGAAGTTCTTCTAGTGGGGCCAGAGTTGTGACCCTCACGACCCGCAGCAGCGTGCCTTCCGTTATTAGTACAGCGGCGAGCGAAGCCTGCGGTTTTGCGGCCAATCCCTGTGTCGTCGCGAAGGAAGGAAGACGCAAGGCTGATGCCCCCTTGTAGCGAGATTCCGTTTAAACGGGGCTGGCAATAACGCGTACGACGAAACGTTGACTGAACACCAGCTCCATGTCTCAATGAATGATAGCTACCAAGAGGCTGGAGCCAGGAAGCTTCGGCGAGGCTACATGGGGAGTGAGAGCGGGCGACTGGGCGAGAATGTGAGGGATGTGCGTGCGGTGCGGACGAGGACGGTGGTAGTGGTCGCGGCGGAGCCATTTGAGCCATTCGCGAGGTGAACAAGGCTATTGAATCGCATAGGAAGGGTCGCGTGCACTACGATCGCAGGGCTTTCGCACGACTAAGCGAAACTGGATGGAATGCCGTCGAGGCGACGAATGCGGCGATGAATTGTGACCAGTGAGAATGGTGGCGGAAGATGGGGGCAGGTCTTGACTCGATTGTATGTGCCCCAGTTCGATATGGTGAGGCTTGATCGATGTTGCTACAATCAACTGAATGCGAATGTGGAACACGTCTAGTATTGGTGTAGTCCATACAGATTTCGTAGAGGAGCTAAGAATGTGCTTTCTTTGTGTAGAACGATAATGTCTGTTTAAATTTTATTTTTCGCGAATGGGCACAACTGGTCAGGAGATGTGGCTCGTAATGAGATCGAATGAAGGCTAAAAATGTACGTCGTAAATATATTTTAGCAGGCACGCCAGGTGTACCTCAATATTATGGACACTATATCTTAGCGCGTACGCATTCCTTTTCCATCTCCCAGTTCCCTCAAAACCATGGCTGCCACAAGCAATCTCCCCCCACCATCGTCCTTGCTCTCGTACTTCGAATGTACGAATTTCTAATCTCGTCGTAAATGGACAGACCGTCCTGCACTGACTAACTTAGGCTGCGCGTGTGCTTCTGCTCATGTCGCACAGGAATCTTTCTGACGTTTCCGTTTCCTGAAGTGTTAGATTCGCGGTTCGCTCGAGCGGGATTCGTGTACATATTTCGTAATTTCGACGACCACCGGGCTATGCGCGTTGTTTAAAAACCGCGAATTCGCTTTATGGGTGCCATTACTTCTGTCGACGCGGCAGAACAATTCGACCATGTGTCAAGTGCACGTGTCGTTTCCACGCCATCCGCCGCGACGTCATCCAGTGACACGTCATCCGTTGCCACGTCAAGCTCAGAAGACGAGAGACAGGAGGTTCAAGGAGAGGGTGAATTTAGTGGAAGCGCGCCGATGAGAAGAGATGCGAGTCATGGTGAGGCGGGAGTGGTGAGGCGCGATTGGTGAGGCGCGATTGGTGAGGCGGGATTTGTTAAGTTTTCCTTTCTAATATGTTTGGATAGGAAGCTGTTGGGAAGTTGCCAGGCGGTCATACCATGCCCTTGGTATTCGTACGGAGAGCAGACAGTTATGTCATGCAGCGGTTCCCGTGCGACACATGCCATGCGACTCAAATGCCGTTTTGCATGGCATGCGACAGGTGCGACCACGTTGTTCCTCACCTTCTCCCCGCCCTCTCCCCGTCCGCCACCATTCCCCGTCGCGCTCGGCGCAACCCCGCCAGCATCATCACCCGTGTCGCCCGGGTCGCACGCGGGGTTACCTTGCGACGCAGGCGCAGGACCGCGCGCGGGGCACGCAACGGCGGCTGAGGCGGCGCCGCTGATTCCGGGGCTACCGGACGACCTGGCGACGGAGTGCCTGCTGCGCCTGCCGCGCCAGGACCACCGCGCCATGCGCCGCGTCTCACGGCGCTGGAACCAACTCATTCAGGTGAGGTCGCCTCGTCCATGTGCTGCCAGCCGTCAGGTGTGCTGCCAGCCGTCAGGTGCTTGGCTCAATGCTCTTTACACTCCCGGGAGTCTTCTTGCCATTCCTCATCACCATGCCCCTCGTTTCCGCTACTTTCCCTCTGTCCCCCCGCCCCTCCCTTTCCCACTTTTCCCCCTTCACTCCCAATTCCCGTTTCCCCCCTTTCCCCCACTTCCCCCTTGGCCCCACTCCCCCTTTCCCCCCTCCCCCCAGTCCCCCCTGTACTACGAGATGCGGCGGCACAGGGGAGTGCAGGAGGGGTGGGTGTACGTGCTATCCCGTGACAGCTCGGACCGTCTGTGGTGGCACGCGCTGGACGTGCGCTCCGCCACGTGGCACGACGTCCCCCGCATGCCCTCCCTCTGCTCGCGCGCCTACGGGCTCGCCTGTGCCGCCTGCCAGGGCAACCTTTACGTCATTGGCGGAGCGGGGTGGCTCAAACCCAGCAGACCGCACGTGTACAGGTGGGTGCAGTGCAGGCAGCAAGACAGCACGGTGGGTTATGTGTGGGCAGTTGTGGGAAGGCGTGGATCGCTGAGGCCGTGGGTTGGTGGTGGGGTGGGACAATATGCTATGGTAGGCGCCCATGTGCCGGACGCGGCCTTCCCTCCCCCACTGCTATCAGCAAGTGGTTTTCCTTTCCGCGTGCTCCATCACTGTGCGCATTCCCCTCCCCCCTACCCGCCCCCACCCTCTAGGTACAACCCCCCCGCCAACAAGTGGGTGCGAGTGGCAGGCATGGCCTTCCCCCACTTTCATTAAGTCCTTCTCCCCCCTCCCCTTGCGCTCTATCTGTTATCGCATTCCCCCTGTCTCCCGTTCCCCCCTCCCCCAGGTACAACCCCCCTGCCAACAAGTGGGTGCGCGTGGCAGACATGGCGTTCCCCCGCTGCTACTGCGTGGCTGGTGCCGTGCGCCTGGAGAGGGATGGCAAGGGCCGGGAGCAGGGCGCGGGATGGCTCGGAGACGGGGGCGACATAGGGGGGGAGGGGAGGGAGGCGGGAGATAGACTGGGGGATGGCGGGTGGGAGAGGGAACGCAGGATTGGGAGGGAGAGGGAGGAAGAAAGGGGGATTGGGAGGGAAAAGGAAAGGGAAGGGGAGAGGCTACGGGATGGGGAGGGAGCGCGAGAGGGAGAAAGTGTGGTTGGGGGGGAAAGGGATGGCGAGAGGAGCAGAGTGGAGGAAAGTGAAAGGGCTGGGGAGAACGCAGGAGTGGGGGAGTCGAGCAGTGGAGGGAAACAGGGGGGTAGCAGCAGGGAGCCGAGAGTGGGGAAGGCGAGAGGGGCAGAGGGAGGGAGCAGCAGCAGCAGGGCGGAAGGGGTGTGTTCGGTGGGAGGGGCGTGGGCGAGTGAACGGCTGGTGGTGGCGGGTGGCATGGGGGCGAGCAACACGTCACTGCTGACGTCAGTTGAAATTTACCACCCGCAGGAGGACCGGTGCGTGCTGTGAGGGGTAGTGAGGACCGGTGCGTGCAGTACGTGCCAGTGGGGGCGGACAGCTTGATTAGGCACAGTGTGATACAGTAGAGGCAGCTGCTGCTGTACCATTTGCATTGCCATGTATCGCCCTCCATCCCAACCACCTTATCACCATCTGTCTCACCTTCCTGACCCTCCTCTTCTGTATTCTCCCCCCTGTTGTCCCATCCCATGCATTCTTCCGTACCCTCCCTGCCCGCACGCCTCTGCCAGGTGGACCAGTGCTTCCCCAGCGCTAGCTAACCAACCGACTGCTGCTGCTAGATGCGTCTCGACTGCACTCAATGCTCCCCTTCCTCCCTGCGACTTACTCTTTACCCTCCCTGCCCTCTTCCTTTCCCCAGGTGGACCAGTGCGGCCCCGCTGCCCTTTGAGTGCGACTTAGAGGATGCAGCCGTGCTAGCCAACCGACTGCTGCTGCGCCACATGCGCTGCGTGCATTCCCCTCCCGGCCCTGATGCTGTCGCATTCTCCCTCTCCTCCAACTCCTGGTCCCCGCTTTCCGGGAACCTTCCCTCCGCCTGGCACGGCCCGTCCACAATCCTGGACGGTCGGATGTACATGCTGGATCAGATCGGAGGGATCCGATTGGCTGTGTACGATGACGTGGCGCAGATGTGGCGCCCGATTGGCCGACTGTCCCCGGCGCTGCTGACGCCACCGTGCCGGATATTAGGGTTTCGCGGGCGGCTGTACGTGATAGGGAGGGGGCTGTCGATGGTGGTGGTGGAGGTAGAGGAGGCGTTGCGGTGTGATGGTGTGCTGCTGACGCGCCGCATTGATGGTGTCGGGTGCCCCTCCGATGTGGTTGTGAGCTGCGTTGTGCTCGAGCTCTGATTGGCTCGGTGATTGCGGCACCTGTGATTGGCTGGACTGGTGCCGCTCTGACTGGCTGCGGAGCCCAGGTGTATGTGTCCTTGAGGTACCACTCAGCGATTCATGGCGGCTGATGTGCTTCGTGGTAGTGGGTTGGCGAGTGCAGTGCGGTACGGAGGACTGCAGCGTGTTGCCTAATATTGTACAGCTTGTATACATCCGTTTTCCTCTTTCTGTGTTTAGGACATGAAGGGAGTACTGTATCTGCTTGACAACTATACCCAACTTGTGATGCACCATTCAATCATTGTACACTAGTGGCTCTTTGTTTTGATATGCAGTTAACATTACTCCATCCTTGCGTAGGGCAACTGTGTCAGTGGGAATGGTTGCAGGGCACAACTGTTGGGCTGAGAAAATAGCCCTCAGGAACTTTGCAGGGGTGAACTCTGGGTATAACTGATGTAGTAGCGGAAGCGTTTAATGAAGAGTTGTGAACCACCTTGCGCTAGTATGTGAGGGCAAAGTTTATTGATTAAAGCAGAGAGATACAAGATTATACCGTATATGGATACAGTGAATATGAAAAGACACAGTTATAACTACTTTATTGTTGCTGTTGCGGTTCGATACAGTGACGATTCGGGCAACTGCTCTGTAACGAGTCAGTTGTGTGTCCTTGCTGTCGCGCTGTATTTGTGAGGTCAAAGGTCGTGTCAAATTATAATATTGTGTAGGCTAAAGTGGGGTAGCCCATATGGGGTACACATTTCTAGGGTTGCATATTTGTATCACTTCCATTCCATAGTCATTCATTCTCGTTCTACTTTCCTCATGGTATCGAGCAGGTTCCCCCTTGGGAACTGTGCCTAGGGCCCACCACATCGAGTTTCAATTTTTTTTCCTGCCCGAAGCGCGCTCCGCCCGAGTCGCGCTCCGGGCTCTCACCTCGCCGAGCCGCCCTAGCGGCCCCCTACGCCCTAGCGGCCCCTTCCCCTAGCGGCCCTGCCGCCCTTCTCCTCAGCGGCCCCGCCGCCCTGCTCAGCGGCCCCGCCGCCCTACTCAGCGGCCCCGCCGCCCTACTCAGCGGCCCCGCCGCCCTTCTCCTCAGCGGCCCCGCCGCCCTACTCAGCGGCCCCGCCGCCCTTCTCCTCAGCGGCCCCGCCGCCCTACTCAGCGGCCCCGCCGCCCTTCTTCTCAGCGGCCCCGCCGCCCTACTCAGCGGCCCCGCCGCCCTACTCAGCGGCCCCGCCGCCCTACTCAGCGGCCCCGCCGCCCTTCTCCTCAGCGGCCCCGCCGCCCTTCTCCTCAGCGGCCCCGCCGTTCTACTCAGCGGCCCCGCCGCCCTTCTCCTCAGCGGCCCCGCCGCCCTGCTCAGCGGCCCCGCCGCCCTACTCAGCGGCCCCGCCGCCCTTCCGCAGCGGCCTCGCCGCCTTTCTCAGCGGCCCAGCCGCCCCTCGCACCAGCGGCCCTGCCGCCCTACACCGCCCGCGCCGCCCGAGCCGCCCGAACCGCCCGAGCCTCCCGAGCCGCCCGACCTGCCCGAGCTGCCCGAGCCGCCCGAGCCGCCCGACTCTCCTGAGCTGCCCGAGCCGCCCGACCAGCCCGAGCCACCCGAGCCGCCCGAGCCGCCCGAGCCACCCGAGCCGCCTGAGCCGCCCGAGCCGCCTGAGGAGCCGAGCCGCTGGTGCCACGGAGCCGCAGTTGCTGCAGTGCCGTCCGAGCAGCCGTGTTGCCGTGCTGCTGTACCGCTGAGCTGCCCGACCCGCCCTGCCTGGTGAGAGCAGCGCTTCTCTCACTGCACTGCCCCTATCCTACAGTTGGTACTGCTAGTCCACTGTTGTCATGGCTACCCCCAGTGTTCTCGCTTTTGACGCTGAGGGTCGAGCCATTGACTTTGAGGTTTGGGTGGATGACCTGCAGCTTTTCCTACAGTGCGATAGGGCAGACGGTCTTTCCCTCTTTGACCTCACTGTCGAAATATGTTATTCATATTTATATAATTGTCTGTAGTGTTAGTGTAGTTATGTTTCCCGTTTGGTGGTGCACCTCATTACCCTAGTTCTTGCCTATATCTTTGTACCTTTGCTCTTTATTGAACCCCCCTTCACTCTCGACTTCCCTAAACTCACTCGAACTAAACTCGAACTACTAGCTATGGCTCCTTAGCCTTGCTAGATTCTTCACACTCACCTCTGGTGCTTCCCCAGCCCCTGCTGCCGATGCCGACGCCACTGTTCGCTCCCAGTGGGCCACTCGCGATGCTGCTGCACGTCTTGCTGTGCGTCGCCACCTGCCTACCACTGAGCGCGCGCACTTTAGCCAGTACAAGAGTGCTCAGACCTTGTACGACGCTGTCGTTGCACGCTACTCCTCCCCTGCCACTGCTGCACTGAGCCGCCTCATGCTACCGTACCTCTTTCCTGACCTTGCTGCCTTTCCCACAGTCGCTGACCTCATTACGCACCTCCGCACTAGTGACACTCACTACCGCGCCGCGCTTCCTGCTGAGTTCTGCGCCAAGAACCCCCCCCCCCCCCCATGTACATCACTCTCTATTATATAGTCACCCGCCTCCCTGACTCCCTTCGTGTAGTCAGGGACCACTTCCTCTCAGTCTGTCCCACCACTCTCACTGTTGACCTCCTAGAGAAGGCCCTCCTAGCGGCGGAGAAGAGCATAGTCGCTGTAGGAGCCTCTCGTGGTGACCCTCGCACCCCCATCTTTGAGGGGTGTTCCCCTTCCCCCCTGTTGCCCTCTGTCGCCTCTGCTGCTGCGGCCGACCTCGTTGGTCTTGAGTCGGTCGGTGCGGCATCTGCCCCTAGCGGGAGACGCCGCTCTGGCAAGGGCAAGGGGGGCAAGGGCGCGGGTGGGGCTAGCGGGGGTGGTGGAGGTGGTGGTGGGGGCGGCGGGGGGAGTGGGGGTGGCGGTGGGAGTGGTGGCGGGGGTGGAGGTGGCGGTGGCAGCGGCGGAGGCGGAGGCGGCGGTGGCGGTAGCGGTGGGAGCGGAGGCGGCGGTGGCGGCGGAGGTGGAGGCGGCTGTGGTGGAGGAGGTGGAGCTGGTCGGGGTGGTGCTTCTCAGCGGAGCGGCTCCGGGAGTGGTCAGCGCCAGCAGCAGCAGCAGCAGCAGCAGCAGCGTTCTCGGGACATCCCCCCTCCTCAGCAGCTCCGTGAGTGGTACACGCAGCGTCAGCGTGGTGGGGGTTTTGGCCCATGCACCTACGTCCTCCACTCCGACGACCGCGCGGGTGAGCAGTGTGGGGGTGCTCACCCCACCCAGCGCTGCTTTGGCCGCCTGACGGACGCTTGGCGTCAGCAGTTCCCGGAGGCTAGTGAGATCACCCGCTGGGGAGAGCTGTCTAGGGCAGGCGTAGCTATCTTTGATCTTGACTTTGATGCTATCCTTGCTGCCATGTATGCTGTGACTATTAGTGATGAGGGTGACTGTTACCGGTGTTTCCCGCCCGACCCGGGCATTGGTACTGCTGCTCTAGGTACTGGTGAGGCTGCTGCTCTAGGTGCCAGTGCGTCCGCGCCCTCAGGTGCTGGTGAGTCTGCGCTCGCAGGTACCACGTCGGCTTCGGCCTCCCTCACCTTCACACTTGACTCAGGGGCTTCTCGCTCCTTCTTTCGAGACTGCACCACACTCACGCCTCTTGGTCGGCCAGTTGCAGTCTCCCTGGCAGACCCCTCTGGGGGTCCTGTCCTCTCTCACTTCTCCACTGTCCTCCCGTGTCCGGCTGCCCCCTCTGGCACCTTGTCTGGTCTTTACCTCCCCTCGTTCTCTACGAACTTGGTGAGTGGTGCTGACCTGCAGGATACGGGGGTTCACCAGTTCACTCCTGCGAGTCAGCGGGTGACCCACTGCACTGACGCTCGGACAGGCCGACACCTGGCCACGTTTACACGTCGGCCGGGGTCGAGCCTGTACACACTGACCACTGCGTCTCCTCCAATCACTGCGTCTGGTCAGGTAGCTGCGTCGGGTCAGGTGTTTGCTGCAGCTTCCAGGTCTGGTCCTGAGTCTGCCCCCTGCTCGTGTCGCCTCCTGTCTCACGAGACTCTCCTCTGGCACCACCGTCTTGGTCACCCCTCCCTGCCTCGTCTCCGAGGCATGGCTTCCCGTGTCCTTGTCTCTGGTCTTCCCCGGTCCCTCCCTCCCCTTCCTCCGGGGCCTGGTCCTTCCTGTGTCCTCTGTGTCGAGGGGCGGCTCCGAGCTGCCCCTCACTCCTCTCAGTTTCCCCCGACAGAGGCCCCGCTACAGACGCTTCACATGGACGTGTGGGGCCCGGCCCGCGTCCGTGGACAGGGTCACGAGCGCTACTTCCTGCTGGTGGTTGACGACTACTCGCGTTACACCACAGTCTTCCCCTTGCGCAGCAAGGGTGATGTCGCTGAGGTGTTGATCGACTGGATCCGCGCAGCTCGTCTCCAGCTCAGGAGGAGCTTCGGCTCGGACTTTCCTGTTCTGCGTCTGCACTCTGACCGAGGCGGAGAGTTCTCCTCTGGCCTTCTGCGAGCCTACTAACGTGCGCGAGGCATCCGCCAGACCTTTACGCTTCCGGACTCTCCACAGCAAAATGGGATTGCTGAGCGCCGCATTGGCATGGTCATGGACGTCGCTCGTACGTCCATGATGCATGCGGCTGCCCCCCATTTTCTGTGGCCGTTTGCGGTTCGGTACGCGGCGCATCAGATCAACCTTCACCCCAGGGTCTCCAGACCGGAGACCTCCCCAGCCTTGCTGTGGACGGGGAAGGTCGGCGATGCGTCTGCGTTCCGTGTCTTGGGATCTCGAGCGTTTGTTCGCGACTTGTCTGCGGACAAGCTGTCCCCTCGTGCTGCTCCCTGTGTCTTCCTTGGCTTCCCCCCTGACGCCCCTGGGTGGCAGTTTCACCACCCCTCCTCTTCTCGTGTTCTGTCCTCCTAGGACGTCACGTTCGACGAATCTGTTCCCTACTACCGCCTCTTCCCCTACCGCACTCCTTCCCTCCCCCCGCCACCGCACTTCCTTGTGCCAGGTCCCCCTCCGGTAGACCCCCTCCCCCCTTAGGGTCCTGCCCCTTCAGGTGTGTCCCAGGTAGATGCAGTCGAGTCGGTCGAGGTTGCTGGTGACTCTGGTACTGCTGCGGGTGCTGAGCCTGGGGGTGCTACGGCTGGGGGTGCTGAGCCTGGGGATGCTACGACTGGGGATGTTGA